ATACACGTTGTACTCTTTTTCCCTTTCTAAGGTTTTTCTCATGAGGTTTTTCTTGTAAGGTTTTTAATGAGGCAGCTAGAAATGTGTATTACTAAATATGTATATTCTTTTTCCTTCGCTAGGGAGCTTACAAGCAGGTTGCAAGCAGCTCATGCATGGAGCTTACAAGCAGTTCAAGAAAAACTTCGCAGCTGCTTCCTTTCTTCTATAAATAGAGGAGTTTTCAGTTCATTATGTACATCAGTTTGAAGTTGAATAATATATCAATCTCTCTTTATACTTGTCTTCAGTTTATTTACTTTATAATCTTTATTTTATAACAATGACAAGATTGTTGAGTTATTATAGGTTCACGTACCTTAGATAAACAAACTTTTTCACCTCACTCTTTTATAACATATCTTATAATTAGCAAGTTTTGGAAATGCTTAGACCATAATACAAAGCATGTAAAAGTTTTACGCAGAAGCAAGAGTTTGGAGTTTAGGATTGGAGATAAAACGTCCTTAAAGTTTAACCCATAAAGAGAATCATTAGGTTCACTAAGCTAAGTTAACTTCAAGGTTCATTGGTCCTTTTCAGATCATTGCACAGGTCAAAACAATGGACTACCACAGAGGCACATCTAAAATTTTAATTCTATGCATTGAACTCATTATTTTTTAAAGTTATGATTTCATATCTACTATTTATTATAATTTTAATGATTTATACATATAAATTTATACTCCGCGTTAAAAGTACTGAGTTCAGTTAAACCCGATAAATTTATGATGCATCCGTCCCTCGACTACCATACAAGTGGACAAGGACATGACTTACAAGGAGGAGCCACTGGCAATAGTGGATTATCAAATGGGAAAACTACAAGGAGGAACCAATGACTTATCAACAAAAAAACTTTGTTAACACAAATTCCTTTAACTATATTCCACAATAAATAAATAAAAATTACAAGAATTATGATTCATGCACAAAGAAAATCCAACAGAAACATGGAGCGCCTTAGCAGCTTAACAATACAAACAAAACACTTAGATCATTAACATGATTACATGAGAAATTCGACGGACATGCTTTCTCTTATTATACAAGCGGCAGTTGAGCTCCATAAGGAGTTAGTGACATCAATGTAATGAACTCAAATCCAAAGAATATTAATAAAACTGAAATGTGATTACAATTCAAATATCAAAATGCTAACAACTTAGTAGCCGAATTAGAATAAAAATTGTAGGAAGTAAAGCAACTAGGGATAGATAGAAGAAGGGGATGAGAAGGTTAATGGGAGAGGAGGAGAAACAAACATTTTTCTCAAGAATAGGCATAATCTCAAAATAACCGACCCGTCCTCCTTTTAACAGAACCATCATTGCGTCATATACTCAACCTGGATCCCAACTTAACCTGACCCTATTACTTGTTCTCGGCCCAAAAGCTCTTCTCAGCCCAATAGCTATTTGTGTGACATTGGGCTGGAGCTGGTTCATAACAATCAACCTGCTTAGGCTTTTATATTTTTGCCACTGTTTTTCTATATTATTACGTTGACTGACATAAGAGAATTTGATAAATAAAGGCAACTTCTTAGGCAATTTAAAGGGCCACTTATATAGGTTAAAAAAATAGCTCTAAAAGTTGCAGGCTTTGCCTCTCAGTGTATTAACAGCGGAGCACGTGTAATTATGTGTATATTTATATTAAACTTAGTTTTAATTATTTAGCATAATATAAACTTATATCAATTTATTTTATGAAAAGTAATTCTTCAATAATTGAGAAGTTTATCTATAAAAAATATAAAACAAAAACTACTCTTTTTTGAATTGCAGAGAAACTACCTTGTCAATAAAATTAATTTGATTGAAAAGGGATTGATGAGAATGTTACACGTAAAACTACAGTATGTCAAAAGAATTTGCATACAAGTTAAGGGGGCACAGTATGTATTAGGTGTCACACCTCCTTTTTCCCGAACGGGATAAGGGATAAAGGAGTTTTTCCAATTAAAGTGACATTAATCGAAATGGAATTATCTATTAAAATCAGAGTCGCCACTTGGAATAATTTATGGTGTCCCAAGTCACCGGTTTATTTTAAATCCCAAATCGAGGAAATTGACTCTTATTTATGGTCTGCGAACACAGAAGATCGGGTAAGGAATTCTGTTAACCCGGGAGAAGGTGTGAGGCACTCCCGAGTTCCGTGGTTTTAGCACGGTCGCTCAACTATTAATAATTGGCCTAATTATCTNTGGTCCGCCGTTCTTAGCTTAGGAATTTAGGTTTTTTTTTATTATAAAAGGGTTGTGGGTTAGGGAATGGGTAAATGGGCTGAAGGGAGGAGTGGGCTGTCAGAAATTGGGCTCAAGTTTGGGCCAAATTTGCCTTTAAAGGTGGCCCTTTAACTCTACAAAGCTAAAATATTAATTTCTTTTCCTAAAATATCATACCATAAAAATGTAAAATCAATCCTAATTAATTAAAATATCTATATTATGACATGAAACTATTTTTGTATTTTCAAACATATGTTTAAAAATTAAAACTAAAAGTTGACTGAAATCCTATTAAAAATAAAAATAAACAATTTTTTTGAAATATTCCTTTTAAAAGTTACGCGGGTCAAAAATTACATGCTTACATTAGGCCAACATTATTTTACCGTCCAATATGTATTTAAATTAAATAAAACGAGACAAAAATACAAACTAAATATTAGCAACATTTATGAGTTTATGATAAGGTTTGATTATATTATAGAGAGCTGTCATTCGTAAAGCTATGTATAGTAAATGATCACTAATTAATGAGAATTCCATATATGCAATATTTGAAAATATGAATAAATATTATTTGAAGTTTGCGTCAATTATCCACTCGGATTTGAAGTAGTCCAATCTCTTTAATGCTATTTCAGAAATCAAATCTGAAATTCTTTTATCTTTCAAATGCAACTTCAGAAATTCGAATCTTAAGTAGTTCACTCTATTGAATGCAACTTAAGATTTCGATTCTTAAATTCTGAAACATAAACTTATTTTTCGATTTTCAACAATTCAATACACGATTCAATGCCCAAATTTACTTTAAATGAACTCAAATTTGAAACACAACCTTCAAATATCATAAATAACAAATCTCAATCAACAAATTATCGAAACAACAATAAATTTAACAAACCCATTTTGCAACTAAAAAGAAGAAGAAAACAAAATTAAAGAAAAAGAGAAAAGTGTATGTATATGAAGTTATCTAAAAATTGGGTATCAGTTAAACCTTTTCTAAAAAGTGAATTTAAATTCAACGAATGACACAAAATTGGGTGCCACATGAAAAATTTTCCTTTCACCATGGTTGTTGGGTATATAACATTTTGCAAGTTAAGTAGTTGATAGTGCTTTCAAAAAATACAATTATTTGTATTTTTTCCTAAATGAATTTAGGAAAATTCAATTGAAATTATTGCCTTTTGTTCGTATTTTATATATTACACCTTTGAATGTTTTAAGGTGTTTTATTTAGAATACATTCAATTTATCATCATTTTGGCAGTCGGTCAAAAATAACATTTTAATTATATAATTAAACAGTTTTAATCTTTTATGTTTACTTAAATTTAGCACTTTTGATTTTCGTTATATTTAAAACACACAATAATAATTGTATTTGAAAGAATTAACTTGTGAAAAATATGTGAACTATTTAAATTGAAGAAACATCACGAAAGACTTTTCCATATACATTTCCCCAATTCGTATCTTAAGAAAATACATAACTTTAAAGTTTCGACAATAAGGTGTGTTGATGAAGGTCCGAATGAGACATAAATGTTGACTCAATCACTATTTCATACTATAATGGAAGGTGGAACGAAGCGTATTGTTTTCCCATTTTGGCATGAATTGGGAGAAACTGTCCCAATAACTTTTTTATTTTAAAATTCAAATGATTACATATTTCTTAGAAGCTAATTTTATCATAAAACATAACTACTCCCAAGATTGTAAAGTAGATCAGAGAGACCAAAAGTGCTAAAATATGATAAATATAAAGGATTAAAACTGATTAAGTATATATTTAAAGACCATTATAGACCAATCCTTAAATATTTAGGGCTATTTTCGTTATTTTCTCTCTTAGACATCATAAGACCAGGTAGCAAATGAAGATCTAAGTGTGTTGGACACATTTGTAAAAGGGTTTGGCCAGAATATTACACGTAAAATTGTAATGTGTCAAATGAGTTTGCCTTTTACTATGGTTGTTGTGCCGGGGCACAGCCGAGACTAATTGTAACTAGTTACGATATATATACATATATATATTAGAAAAAATAAAAAATATTCTTTAAAAAAAAGATCAATACCTTCTGTAAAAGCAATACCCTGAGGACGAGAAGCTGATGCTTTCAGAATACAGAGCTTATGTGAATAGGAATAGCCATTAGCCAACTTAATTAGAGTTCTAATTAACGTCAGATTGTAATCTAATTAAAGTAAAAAAGATTGAAAAAGGTGAGAATCCAATCCTAATCAAATTGGGATTCTTTAAGTTAGAATCCGTTACAAATTTAGCCCTATCTTTTGAATAAAAGTCTTAGTTGAATTTGAAGCATTGGTAAAATATTAAATATTAACAATTTTATCCTACATTGAATTATATATTTTGTCTTTAAAAGTGGATCAATATTTCGAGAATATTTTTGTTTATATTTTTATATTTGTGATTTTATAATAAATTAATTTTTGTGTACGTAGATCTTTAATTAGTATATTATTTATATGGAAATTCTTTTTATAATATTTCCTTTGGAAAGATATATGAACGAAACATTAACCTATTGATATTTGAAGACTAATCCACCAAATAGTTCGATACAACTTCCACAATATAGGTTCTAGGTAATTACCTTGGTACACATCCAAACTCGAGGCATATGTATCACCGAATTATGAACTCATAAATTCAAAATCAAATCTAGAATTTTAAATTCATGAATTCTTACCGCAACCTCAAAATTAATATACATCTAAAATCTCCACAATGTTACTGTTATACCACAACCATTCAACCATTCTCTTGGGGTATATATATCAAAATTACAACAACAATTAAGCTAAAACATAACAAGGTAAGCTAACTAAAAAAGAGAACTCTAAAGAGTGATTCTATAGCTATCAATTATCATTCCTTGGCTCAAGAGGAATGATTTTCATTTTCTGTTTTAGCAGTAGAGCTTTCTCAGAGCTCGTCATGATCATGTCCAGAAGACGCACTTCCTCTCACTTTCTCAACTGTTTTATGCACTGTCTGCTCCACCACCTTAGCAGCCGATTTGGCGGTCTCCTCAACGGTTTCTTTGCTCTTACCAAAGCTCTTCTGGGCAGCCTCTTTCATCCTCTCCTTGGCACCACCATCAGCAGTAGCAACCTCCTTGCTCCCAAAACTGACTATTTTATTAAATTAGCCCCAATCCCAAACTCACTTTATCACAAATGAGAACAAAAATGTTGTGTTCTAATGCAAGGTTGTTAAAGATATAGTAAGTAATTCTTAAAAAAATAAAATTATCGTCGCTTTAAAGCGTAAAAGTTTTTATAATATGTTCCAGTACAAAATTGAACATGATAATGGAGAAATAACAGTATAACTACCAAATACAACAATCAGGGCGGCTTTATAACATTTGTGGCCTAAAGCCAAAATTGGAGGCCTTAAACTTAAACAAAAACTTCTAATTTTTATTTGAAGTCTATTTTTCTAGCTTTTTGAGATGCAAATTTATTAATAATTTTTTTATAATCGATTTCTTCTAATCATTCTCTCTCAAATGATAATATAGCTAATCTTTTTAATCTTTCTTGAGACATTATTGATCTTAGGCGAAATTTTATTAATTTTGGTGTTAAAAAAATTTCTTTCGGTGAAGCAACTGTTACAGGATCAGAGCTGTTAACATTATTTTATAAACAATATAAACATTTGAAAAAGAATCAAATTTTCTTAACTGATTGAATATATATCAATTAGAGTATTATCTTCAACTTGATTCAATTTTTTACACGAAATAGAAAATCAAAAATACTTTTATACACTTCAAACTATTCAAAATCTTTATTGAAGTGAAAACATGGCTTGATCTACTATGTATAAGAACTAATCAACTCTAAAAAATATTTCAAGAGACTTTATGGTTTTATTATCAATATTTACATCAAATTGTTTCTTTATATATAATACACATTTATTACAAATAGTACTCAAAATTTTCTTCTAAATGATAACTTAAATTTCCATACAAAAAAGACATAAGCCTACTATTTCTAAAAATGGGGCCCCTCAAATTTGGGGCTTAAAGCGACCGCTTAGTTGCTTCACGTTTGAGCCGCTCCTGACAACAATCTCTACATTATCATTCTCAGGAATATTACGACTATCCCTTTAACTCAGCTAGCAAATCCCAACCATGCATTTATCCTGACTTACATCTCGTTCAATCTATAAACACATGCAATCCAATCTCAAAAGTGAAGAGCTGAGTATCTTCACTTTGCTGGAATTACGCGGGTAATCAATTAAACCCCTATGGTTCATTGTCCGTCATCCTAAAGTAGTCCTCACAAAACTTTCAGGAAAAGAAAAAGTAGTGTACGTATTGTGTATAAGCATAGGATTTTTGGTCGAATCAATTCAACCCAATTAAGAAGGACCAAATCTGACAAAGACAAACACATCTTCGCCGCGCTAGATGTTTACACCAAATCAACGGAGATGTATTACAAATTTTATCATATAAACTTCTATCATCTTACCATGGTTGATCAAAATACATTCTCTTTGTATTTAATCACATAACCTTGTAAGTTAGTATATTTTGGTCTAAACAACTGGTAAAGTAAGGACTCGTTTGGTACGATAGATAAGAGATAATTAATATCAACATTAAATTTGAGATGAGTTTATCCAACGTTTGGTTAGGATAAAATTGCGGTATAACTAATCTCGGAATTAGTTATCTCGGGATTATAGTGCTATTTTTATCCCTATAGGAGTGTGGAATAATAATTCCGGAATAAGTAATTCCGAAATAATTAATCCTGGAATAACTTGTTTCCCAACCAAACGACCCCCAAATATTTTCCGATATCATCGGCGAGCGGTGTCACATTTTAAAAACTAAAATGAATATTGAATGATAAAGCTACTAATTAACGACAGTAAATATTTAAAAAAATTCCACCATAAACATAAAAATTCTGTCTTTTTATTCTTCATCTATGTTAGAGGAAAAAAACAAAAGAACAAGACAATTTTTCTATAGAAATAGAATTAATTTATCACTTAGATTTTTATGAATGAGCTTCGTCCATACTATTTGTTTTCAAACAATGGGGCTAAAAAAGTTATACTTAGAAAATGATTATGAACGATCTTCGTCCATACTAGTTGTTCTTAAATAATGAAGCTAAAAATTTTAAGCAATTAATGTGGTTAATGAGTTTTGATCCGCTCACTTTTACCCATAAATTGACAAACTTAACCAGTGGACCACGGAGTATCAATAGTTAAATGGGGTCACTGGTAACACCAGGGGTGGAGCTACAATAGTAGATGCGGGTTCGGGCGAACCCGGTGACTTTTTTCGGAACCCTATATTTGTATTGAAATATTTACTAACTCTATATAAATATATACTGCCGAACCCAGTAACAAAAGGGGTCTTGGTTCAATGGTAAGGGCTATGAGTTCGCTGGGAAAGATGGGGGTTTGATTTTCGCTTAAAGCAATGCTTTATTTTAAAATTTAGAACCCACATACTTCAATTCCTAGCTCCGCCTATGGGTAACACTATATATTTTCGTTAAGTAATCTTTATGTGTATTGGTAGAAATTTTCGATGAAGCGGTGTCACTTGACGCCGCTCGGGTATACGTGCATCCGCCCCTGGATATCATGAAACGGTGGAACACATAGAACAACAAATTCAAGAACAGCAAAGAAATGAAAAGGGAAAAAAGAGAGTTCAATGGGGGAATAGAGAGCTTACTCTAAATCAGGAGGAAAAAACTTAAGTTGGAGTTGATTGATATACGACTTGACCTTATCCCAAGATCGCAACGACGATGTTAGAAGGGTAGAATAGGCTTCTTGTTGCTTGTCTCGGACGTTCTTTTGTGCAGCATCCCCATATGTGTGAATAGTTGCAAAGGAAAATGTGACAAGCCAAAAGATAAATACTACACTTAGGTTTTTAGATCTTTCCATGCTATTTGATGTTGAACAAGAAAATGGTTGTGTTTAGGAGGATATTTTTGCTCAGAAAATTACATAAATTGAATTCTGATTTTGCTATTCTTTCTAGGAATTTGCTATCCTTTCTAGGAACTAGAACTAGGAATAGCCAATTATTTGACAAATGTTCAAAAGTGGATACTGTTTCCATGCATGAACCCCACGTTTCCCTTTGTTGTAGAATCTCCATCCAATACGTCCAAACAACACGTATTAAATTAAAGTAATTTTTCTTCCTTTCCTTTTATATTTATTTGTTATGAAATAAAGATTATAAAATATAGACAAGTATAGAGAAAAATTAATATATTATTCAAAATTCAAACTTATGTCTATAATAAACTGAAATCTCCTTTATTTATAGAAGAAATGAAGCTGCTGTGTAAGCTGCTTCTTCAATCTGCTGTGTAAGCTGCTTGTAAGATGTTACTGCACTAGATATAGATAATTTTCTACCGAGAGTAATATTTATTCATAACGGAGTGCTGAAAGGATAAACTCATTGTGGAGCACTATGATATGACAGTACCTCCACATGTTCAATCTGCTGTGTAAGCTGCTTGTAAGATGCTACTGCACTAGATATAGATAATTTTCTACCGAGAGTAATATTTATTCATAACGGAGTGCTGAAAGGATAAACTCATTGTGGAGCACTATGATATGACAGTACCTCCACATGTAAACACGTACCCGATTTGAGATCGAGCTTTATGTGGATCAAATAAATAACCTGCATCTGCATAACCAACAAGATCTGCACTACCTTTGTTGGAATAAAATAAACCCATATCACATGTTCCCCTTTAAATATTGCAATATCCCATTCCAATGTCTCCGTGTAGGAGAATAGTTATTTCTTGCTAGTAAATTAACAGAAAATGCTATGTTAGACCTTGTAGAATTAACAAGATACATAAATGCACCAATTGCACTAAGATAAGGTATTTCGGGACCAATGAGTTCCTCATCCTTTTCTGAAGGTCGGAACATATCCTTATTCACTTCAAGTGATTGAGCAACCATTGGTGTACTCAATGGGCGCTTTGTCCATGTAAAAACGTTTTAAGACCCTTTCTGTATAGGCAGATTGATGGATAAAGATCCCATTTGCTAAATGTTCAATTTGCAGACCAAGACAAAGTTTTGTCTTTCCAAGATCTTTCATCTCAAATTCTTTCTTAAGATATTCAATTGCCTTTTGGTGCTCTTCTGGAGTTCCAACAAGATTTATGTCATTAACATAAATAACAAGTAACAAATTCTGATGCCATTTTCTTTATAAAAATATATGGACAAATAACATCATTTATGTAACCCTCTTTCAGCAAATATTCACTAAGGCGATTATACCACATACACCCAAATTGCTTTAAACCGTACAATGATCTTTGTAATCTGATTGAATATATTTTTCGAGATTTTGAATTTGCTTCAGGCATTTTAAATTCTTTGGAGATTTTCATATAAATTTCATTTTCAAGTGAACCGTACAGATAAGCTGTAACTACATCCATTAGATATATTTCAAGCTTTTCATGTTGTGCTAAACTGATGAGATATCAAAATGTTATGGCATTCATAACAAGTGAATATGCTTCATCAAAATCAACTCCAGATCGTTGTGAGAATCCTTGTGCGACAAGGTGAGCTTTGAATCTTTCAATTTTATTTTTATCATTCCTTTTTCGCACAAGAACCCATTTATGACCAACTGGTTTTATACCAACAGATATTTGAACTACTGGTCCAAAGACCTCTCTTTTAGCAAGTGCGTTCAATTCTGATTGAATTGCCTCTTGCCATTTTGGCCAATCAGATCTTTGTCGACATTCGTCATTAGATCGGGGTTCAAGATCCTCACTATCTTGCATAATGTTAAGTGCAATATTATATGTAAAAATATTATCCACCACTATTTCAAATCAATTTAAATTAATTCCTTCACCAGTAGAACTTATTAAAAGCTTCTCACTCACTTGAATCTCGGGTTCATTGATTTCTTCAGGAATGTCAGAAATAATCAGATCTTGGGTCTCTTCAGGAGGATCCCTTCATAGTATCGTTTTGATTATTTGTCGATTTTCTTTTCCGATGATTTCGATCCTTAGAACCCAAAGGCCTACCACGCTTTAGGCGTGCTTTAAGCTCACTAGCTCTCATGCTAGTAGATGGTCCTGTTGGGACATCAATTTGGATAGGCACATTTTTTGCAGGGATATGTGATTTAGTTATCCTTTTCAAATCAGTAAACGCGTCTGGCATTTGATTTTCTATATTTTCAAAATGGATGATCTTCTGGGCCTCCTGATTACATATAGGGATACGTGGATCAAAATGGGATAATGATGAAAATTTTCACGCAATTTCTCTTTTGATTTCTTTTTTCTCTCCCCCTAATTGTGAGAATTTTGTTTCATCAAACCGACAATCTACTAATCGAGCAGTAAATAAATCCCTCATTAATAGTCCAAGATAGCGAATAATAGAGGGTGATTCAAACCCAACATATATTCCTAACCTTTTCTGCGGCCCCATCTTACTGCATCGTGGGATGCTACTGGCACATATACAGCACATCCAAAAATTCGTAGATGGGCAATATTTGGTTCATGACCAAAACCTAATTATTACGGAGAATATTTATTATAATGTGTCGGTCTGAGATGGATAAGTAATGCTGCATGCAAGATAGCATGGCCCCAAACAGTAGTGCGCAATTTTGGTTTCAAAAATAGCAGTGATCTTGCTATCAATTGCAGGCGTTTAATAAATGACTCTACAAGGCCATTTTAAGTATGAACATAAGCTACACGATGTTCAACTTTTATCTCAACTGATAGACAGTAATCATCAAAAGCTTGAGATGAGAATTCTCCAGTATTATCAAGGCGAATAGCCTTTAAAGGATAATTTGGGAATTATACCCTTAATCAAATTATTTGGGCTAATAACTTTACAAACGCCAGGTTGCGAGATGATAGTAGGCACACATAAGACCATCTTGAATATTCATCTATTAGGATCATAAAATATCTAAACAGCCTATTTGGTGGGTGAATAAGTCCATATATATCCCCATGTATACGTTCTAAAAAGGCATAGGAATATCATTGCTTTGGCATAGTCTTGGTTTGATGATTAATTTTTGTCCTTGATGGTGTCTTCCAGATATATCGAGGGCTACAAATTCAAGTTTAAAAAGATTTGATATTATTTAGAAAAAGAAAGTTCGTACCTCTAATACTTTCAAAGTACTTGCTCAAGATGGCAGAATCTCGTGCTGATAACGTGTTATGAAATAAAGACTGTAAAGTAAAGACAAGTATAGAGAGAAACTGATATATTATTCAAAATTCAAACTTATGTCCATAATGAACTGAAATCTCCTCTATTTATAGAAGAAAGGAAGTTGTTGTGTAAGCTGCTGTGTAAGTTGCTATTGCACCAGATATAGATAATCTTCTATCGGGGGTAATATTTATCCATAACGGAGTACCGAAATGATAAGCTCATTGTATCAGATATAGATAATCTTCTATCGGGGGTAATATTTATCCATAACGGAGTACCGAAATGATAAGCTCATTGTATCAGATATAGATAATCTTCTACCGGAGATGATATTTATCCATAACGGAGTACCGAAAGGATAAGCTCATTGTACCAGATATAGATAATCTTCTACCGGGGGTGATATTTATCCATAACGGAGTACCGAAAGGATAAGCTTCTTCAGGAGGTTTATTTCCAATAGAGTACTAAATAGATAAATATATTTACGGCGGAGTCTCATATAGATAAGTTCTTCAGGAAACTTATTTACAACAGAGTAGTAAATTAACATCCATAACATAATATTTTTATAACACTATTTAATTAAAGTTGAGACTTTTGAATGCATATTTTATTCTTTTTTAAGGAAGGAAGTCACCAAGTCATCATGCCCCCTTATGTAAGGCTGTGCATTTGGACTGAATATCCGAGAGTGCGAACCGGTTCACTCAATTCGATTTTTAAATTAGGATTTCGGAGATTCGAATTGGATATGGGTTAGATTTTTTAAGCATTTGGATATCTGGATCGGTATAATATTAATCCAATCAGACCCGAAATCTGAATTATATGGACATGTATAAATATTAGACTTACATTTAGGTTAAGTCTTCTCATTTCATCCGCCCCTCTTTAGACTTCTCTTTTCTTAGTTTATATCGAAGTCTCTCTCTCTACCCTCTCTTTAGATTGCTCTGTCCACTTCTCTTAAGTCTAATCTTTGTGTCTCTCATTCTCAGTATCTCCTTCCTATCGACGGACAACAATGCCTCTCTCTTATTAGACATTTGTTTGGAATTTCAGTTTATTTTATTTTACTATGAAACTTTTGTTTTTTCTATTGCTATGAAAGACATTTGTTGATGTATTGAGTAAAATATGTTATGACACATGGCCGTCCAAGAAAGGGATATGTGGAGCCCAAGTCAGGGAGATGATTGAAGACTAAAGACAACTGTTTCGTTTGTCACCGGGAAGTATAATGCTCATAAAGATGTGATAAATGCTCTTCTCCCGGTAGCATTCAATAGAGAATATTCATAGCATTAAGAGCAGTTATCAGTTATAAGAAATCTGGCATCTATGTTCACCGTTATATCTTCATAAATGCCCCTCATATTTGATATTAAAGAAAGGCACGATCCTAAGACTTTCTTCATAGCTATAAATAGTGAGCTCAATTGTCATTGTAAATGGGGGAATGTTCTGGAAAACTTATATTATATTTTATACAAAGCTCAATCCAATTTTATCTTCTGATTTCTCGATTCTTTTGTTGTTGTGCTTGGAAACCTCATTCCCGAAATTGTTGCTTCTGTTGTTTCGTCTATATCTTAAGGCTAAGTATTGCGTAATTCTTCAATTATTTATCTATTTCAGGAACAAATTAATTCACTTATCTAGAAACTACATATAAATTCAACTATACCATTTTACGAGTAAATAGTTTGGCGCCCACCGTGGGGCCTAGATAGCCATGTAATTAAATTGATCCTTGCCTTTTTTACTAATGTGTTTTGAT